GTGCACAACATACATTAGTCATGAATAAACATCAGAAAAATCTATATTTCCTAAATATCTCGTTTACTCGTACCCTTATTTTCCAAAATATGTAGGTATATAAACACATATATACTATACATATATACATATAGGGCTATAGCAATTTTCAATTAATTATTTAAAAAAAATACAGCATTTGTAATATTAAAAAATAACACAATATTATTTTTTTGTAAAATCAATAGATAACCAGTTAGTAGAAAATATACCCTAGTTTCAAACTGCTTTCTCTTTGCTCTGCTTCTTAGTATATTCAATGCAAAAAAGAAAAAAAAACTTTTTCTACCTAAACCGAATCCTTAATGTACTAGTGATAGTTCTTTTAAAATAGATTAAGCAGTTTTTCTTATTTTGGTTAAAAAACTACGTCAGCTTTGCCTAAATGCTATTTTCACAAGTGAAAGTTTCCATAGAATCGGATCAACTATTTTGAAAATTAACTGATAGAAAGAAGATAGACAAAAATTATTTAATGGTACTTTAGCTAGGATGAAGCAAATAATTATATGATATGAGATGAAAAGATAACACAATAAACACTTTAAAAAAACCGACTTCAAAAAAAGCACTTAAAGTAAAAAATATGTGATTGGTAGTTTTCATTTACTATAAATACCTAATCAAATATTTTCGAAGTCGGTGTGCTTTGCTTTGTATGGCTGGCACTGAATTCGAAAATATTTGATCAAGTATGTATAGTAAATTAACACCAAAAACTACTAATCAGTTAATTTTTACTTTTTAGTGCATTTTTTGAAGACAGTTTTTTTTAGTTTATATTCTTCCCTTTTTAGTGTAGACATAGTAGTAGCAAAGTACGAAGAAATTATTTTAATAAAATATTCGCTTAAACCGTTGAAGTTATTTTGATGCTAATTTTTATACGAAGACTTCGTATAAAACTTCGACAAACTAAAATTCGCTGTTATTAGTAACACTAAAAATTCTGGCTCTAAATCTGATTCTAAAATGTTAGGCTTGTCAAATCAAACAAAATAAGCCCAAACTTAAAGTATCTACTATTAGGCGTTGAAGAGTTCCACCTATCTACCTTACCATCAGATCAGGTCAACGATATCGAACCAATGCACTATCAACGGAAATAGCAACACTTGCAAAGTTTCAAGTCAATATGACAATTAGAAGTAGGTTAAATTCATCATTAGCTATTTTAGGGGTGGTTTTTTTTTGAAATTTAATTGAGACCAATTTGGAAGAAACTTTCAAATAAAACAAAAATTGTCCAAATCGGTTTATAAATGACGGAGTTCTGAGGTAACAAACATAAAAAAAACATACAGCTGAATTGAGAACCTCCTCCTTTCTGAGGAAGTCAGTTGAAAATAAGAGAAGTGAATATTTCAATTTAAATAGTTTGTTTACGGTTAAAATACGAATAGCGTACGTTAATGTCGTGCAATATACTTAATTGGTTTACACGTGCATGGACAGTTTTAAACGGTAGTAAATAATTGCGCTATTTAAAAGAGCAACTGTTGAGTTTCTCGCGGGCTCTTCTCAGCAGAACTGCTTTCCGAGCCGGTGTCGGTCCACTCATGGACAGACTACGTTGACGCTCTTGGAATTAAATTGACGATTCAAAATGATAAAAAAGTTTATTTTCAATTCCGTCACTGCTAAAATAAACTGCAAAATATTTGATTTACTGACTCAATAATAGACAGTACCAGGTATTTAGATATCCCGGGGGTATTTCTCTTTCACACTCGTATTAAGAATACATACTTCTATACTCGAGCTTAGTGACTTACTACACATAATCAAGTATTGATATGTCTTACTAAAAACTAAGTTTATTAAATAAAAGATAGCCTAATAGCCAAGGGTATTTTATAAATCTTTAATAGTGAAATAATTTTGTAAATCAAATTAGGAATTTTGTTTATTTAAACTCAAAAATTATAAGCAATTAATAAAAACAAAATCAAAATTGGTTTAATAAAAAAATACATAAATGAGAATCCAAAACAGGTATTGCTATTGTGCATTGTGTATGCACTGCACTTCCTTCTATACGATTTATTATAATTGTAGATTTGTAACGTAATATATTACTAATTATAATTCTCTGAATATAATGCTTTCCATAATAAATATTCATTGAATATAATTAATTCATTGTTACATATTGTTTGCATTTATTAGGGCTTTGTTGTTCGTAATTAATTCTCCTATTTAAATAGAAAAAATGTATATATAACGTTTAATAAGTTCTTTTACCCAATTATTAGAGTCAGTCGTTATAGTTTAACCGACTACAAAAAAAGATAAAATCCAAAATTTTAAAGATTTGAGAGTCAGTGTAAATATTTAGTTAAAAATCGTTACGCCCTCCTATTATCCTAAAACTGAATCTATACAAGTACCTACCAACTAACTACTTACTCTCGTTTGCCTCAAGTGTGTCCCTGGGGTGTCTTTTCTATTAAAATTATTATGTAAACAGGTACCGCCACCTTTTGGCAATTCTTTTTACTAACAGTAGCTTATGTATTATTATCCAGGTTATAGTCTATTTTACTAAATTTTATCGAAAACCGTCCAGCATGATAAATAAATAAATATGTTGGGGCATTACACACAGAACAATCTAGTTCCATGGTAAGCTACGAGGCCTGTCTTATTTATACCAGATAGTTAATACACTACACATACCTATATAACATTAACCATGACTGGAGCACAAACATTCGTCCTCACACAAATGAATGCCCCCAGCGGGATTCGAACCCACGACCGCTAGCACAGCAAGTAGCGTCACTGCAAACTGAGCCAAACGTATCGTCAAACAAACATAGACACAAACAAAAATACACTCAAACCTCGCATTAATATATTTTAGTAGTAAGCCATTCAATTCTATTTACATTTACATTGTAAATTCAAAATATCGTTTAGCTTATGACCACCGAATATTTTATATTCCCAAATCGAATCCTAATAGCTAACATGCAAAGGTTAAATAAATTAAATTAACATACAAAAATTTAAATGAATGCATCCACTTTATATAAAACTAATCCACACTATAAAACTATGTTAGAAGAATTTCTGTTGTTGTTGTAGTCGTTCTTAAAGTATTCTTTTTAACCTAATAGGTGTTATATTTTATAGAGGTACATATAATATATTTCGTACTAAAATTTAGTAACAGTTATAACCGAATCCGAATTCTAAGCCTATGTTATAAAATGTAACAATAACAACAAAAATTACTTCATTCTTCTTTCTAGTCAATCTAACAGTGCAGTTAGTTTTATATAGATAAAAATATTTCGTTCGTGTTTCAGACAATGGCGCCCAATGACGCAAATAAAACTTTTGTGGAACCAGAGGTAAAAAGTGGAAAATCTGGAGATAGAGTCTTCATAACGGGAATGTCAGGGTTATATCCCGAATCCCATAACGTGAAGGAATTATCAAATATTTTATATAATAAGGTACGTTTAAGTTATGTTTATATAAATAGGCAAAGACAAAACAGATCCGTATGTTTTTCTCATCTTTTTATGAACAGATTTTCTTTTTTGTTTTTTTTTTTCATTTAATAGCCCTTGATGAGCTTTAGTGTTATCAATAAAATAAAATTTGAACACAATTATTTTTTTATGTAGATAGGTATATTTTATTTTTATACCCATACAACGTTTCCTCAAATTTTCAATAATGGTTATGATTGAATTGCGACCACTAGTATTTTATTGCTTTACATAATTAAAGTAAAATATTTACTTATTCGTCTTAACTATATAAGTATAAAAATAGTAAAAAGTGTTGTTGAAATTTTGAAATAAAGTACAATGTAGTAAATATTATTTTGAAATCAGTTAAATCTCAATTGTAGTTTGGATTTTAAATGAAAATACAATTTGTTAATTAACTTTTTAAAGTTTTAAATTTAGAACTGGTCACAGGTACAGTACTGCTATACTTTTTATCTTATAAAATACTTTAAGACCCATAAAAAATCAAGTTTCTATGGAAACAAGTTAGAAATGAAACTTCGTTGGTTATTTATATTTAAAATCTGTAAGATTATTTAATTCATAAAAACTTTTAATATAACATTCAGAAAAAAATATAATTGAAACGAATATTAGACAAAGAGGAGGGAATAATATTTTATCTCTTTCTATCAAGCTGGATTCTTATATCTATCGCATATACTGTAAGGGATGACCCCGAACGAAGAGAGGGTGAGCCGGTAGTTATAAACATTTTGTATAATTGAAAACAAACTAGGAATAAAAACTTTTTAACAAAAAAATAAATACCGACTTCAAACAAAAGCACTAAAAAGTAAAAAATAACTGAGTGGTAATTTTCAATAACTGAGTTTTCATTTACTATCCATACCTAATCAAATATTTTCGAAGTCGTTTATCGTTACGGTTTCTCGTGACGCGACCTAGAAATTTTACTTTCATGCGCGCAAAGAAGTTTTACTTCAATATAAAAACTTTAAAAAAAGTAGAACGACTTAAAAGTAGGCACTAACTAAACGAGGTGTTTCATTTACATTAGCTTCCATGTTATAGTTTTAAAACTGATGTCATTCAAAAAATAGAAAAATATGTTTATATATAAATATATATACACTTAGTAATAATTGCACATGAAATTGTGTGTAGAAAAGCGGCAAGAAATTTATTAAAGAAAGTAAATAGTTCCAGTCCTGCTCTGAATCGCATTGCCAATTTTTAAGGCGATAAATGAGGCAATAAGAAAGCCAATTAAATGATGTATTAATGTTGACTAAGAATAAGTACTTATCACGTTTTGTTAACCGACAGATCAATCCTGTTAATGCGGAAAAATGTCGTTGGCAATATGACCATCCTGAAGTCGCGAAGTACACTGGGAAAGTGCCTGAGTTGTCGTCATTTGATGCACAATTTTTTAAAGTCCATTATCGCTTAGGAAACAATATGGACGCAATGGGACGTAAAATTTTAGAACAGGCCTACCAAGCCATTTTTGATGCTGGTAAGTTTAATCTCTTCACGACAGCGGACACGCCGGCGTTACAGTAAACAATAGATTTCTTAGAAATTTAATTAATTTCTTAAAAATTGACCTGGAGGTGTATTGAATGTATGTAAAGTCAATTTGTCATGCCTTTTGTTTTAATCATAATAAATATTTTGTTTTTAGACTTTATTTGGCACAAGTTTAGTATATGGGACGCGGCCCTGGAGAAGTGGGTGGTATTTTTGGATAGGGAAGGTAATAGAGAGTTCAAATATATAAAAACTATTTTGAGGAAACGAAGGAGTCAAAAGTTATGGAGACTTAAAGTTACATTTCCATACATTTGAATACCTAAATAAGTCATTACAAAAGAAACCTTTAACGAATAGTAAATGTCCTTTTTCGTGTAAAATCCATATTCTCATAACAATTAAGGCTTTATTGTATTAATATTTTGATAATTTCACTAAAAACAATGATCTAAACAAATTACCTACTCTTAAATTTTTACAAAACTGTCAATTTCTGTTTTATATACCGCTTTCAGGACAACAAATTATCGCGTAATAATTAGGTAAGACTTATGAGTTATACTTATACAAAAAAATAATAGTGAAAATTGTCATTAGAATACTAAGATTTTAAAAAAGAAATATGTTATTTTCAATTGATGCATATTACATTTACGAGTTTTTATTTAATTTATGTAAAATATTGATTTCTATGATTAATTTATAACTTTAAAAAAAATTTTTAATTTTTTTTTACTTTAAAACATTTTTAACTATAAAACATTATAAAAATGTTTTAAAGTTAAAAATATTGTAATGTAATTGGTGCATTTTTCATTTTGTTAATTGTGGGTAGGCTGTCTGTAACAACTATACATTCAAGACATGTAACACCTCAGTCTCTCCCGTGACCATGGATGCTGTAAAGCATTCGAAACGTCGGGAACCAAAAATCAAAATAAATCCGCGAAATAATCCGAAAAGATAGTTTTATTTAATAATGTCAAACATTCGCGTAAATCTAAGAAAGTATTATTTTAAATCTTTATTTGATTTTATTATGTGTGAATACTTTTCAGTATTTTTGGCGGGTAGTCACAAAATAGTTCGATAGTTTATGTGAATACGATCTGTATTCATTAAACGCGTTCAGGTTTACATATATTTTTTTTTGCTCTTTTTCGTAGTAATTTTTTTCATATTATTTTCTTTTCGTATACGCTCGTTTCTAGTTTTTATTTTAATAGTATTAGTATAGTTTTAAGTGTACTCATATAATTTAAAAACGTAAGTAGACTATTTTTTAATCTAAATGTATTAATTATTTTCGATTAAGTGACAGTCCGACTTGGATAATTTAGGTTAAGAAGGCTAAGGCGGGAGCTACGCTACGCTTAGTCTTTATTTCTCGTTAGTTCTTTTTTTTTTATTTCAAACCCAGATCCCCTGCTATTATAAGGGCTTTATATTAATTTTAAATTCGGTGATAGATCCGATTTGGATAATTTAGATTGAGAAGCCTAAGGCGGGAGCGAAGTGTAGTGCAGTAATGTCATAATTATGTATAGAAATGTTGTAACTTTAAGTCTCAATAACTTTTAACTCTTTCGTTTCCTCAAAATAAATTTTATATATTTAGACTCCTCTATCAAAAAATACCACCCACTCCTCCAGAGGCCGCATCCCATATACTAAACTGCAGCACTTTATTTATAGTTGCTCCTGAGGAGTAGACATGATACTTTTTTTTCGCTTTTTCGTTTAATTTTTATTACATATATTTGTATTGGCTGAGTTGAAATAAATTAATAAAATAATAAATAGAGACAGTGGTAGCCAAGTGGTAACTCGCTCGCTTGGGAAACCGAGTGAAGCTGGTTCAAATCCCGAATCTCGCACCTTTGATATTTTCATGTGCAAATCATTTCTTACATGATTATCACTTGGAGAAAGGAAAACATCGTGAGGAAACCTGCATGTCTGAGAGAACCTAGCAAGTTTTCGAAAGACAAGTGAAGTCCGCTAATCCGCACTTGGATAGCGTGGTGGACTGTGGTCTGATTCACCTCTATTGAAGGGAAGCCCATGTCCAGCAGTGGGATGTTGAAAAGGGTTGAATGTATACATACAATAAAATAATATAATATGTATATTTGAAATTGTGCCCGTCCTTTGTAGGAATCAGCCCAGTGGAACTCTCCGGGAAAAAAGTAGGCGTATATGTTGGCAGTTGCTTTTCTGAAACCGAAAAAGCTTGTTTTTACGTCGCAAGTTCTAGAACAGGTTTTGGTATTGCAGGGTAGGTGTGGCTATGAACGCCGATCATTCATTTTCACTCTTTTCTTTTAATTTAGTGGAATTTACCGATTTATAAATGTTGTTGTATGTAGATTTTACTCATAACTCGGGTGTGTCTATGTGTAAAACCAAACTCCAAATACATCCTCATGAAGAAAGAACAAACACACATACAAACACACATACTTATACATATTATATTACTTATTTATATTAGCTGTTTGATAGTTATATGACAAATGCAAAATTATACCTGTTTCATAATGTGTAATCTTTGAAGGTTACGTATTTGAGTTTGCTTGTTTGGATAACGGTGAAACTTTCTATTTGATGTACGAGTACTTTTGTAAATCATCATATTATTTACTATTTTTCAAAGCTGTTTCTGTTGGTACGCTATATCTTCTTTAATACTTTATAAAAATTTATGACTGAGACATCATTTTGAAGATTTTTTTCCGGCTAAAGAATATACAATTAAAATTAATATTTTCACTATAAAAATTTTTCATGAAATTGATTTACGGGTTTTTAGTTGTTATGAAATTACTAGCATTGCCCGCGACTCCGCCCTCGTTCAGATGACCAAAAAACCAAATTATTAGGTTTTACATATTAGTATACATTGCAGTTTTTGTATTTTTTCTCAGAAATGAGACAGATGATTTTTTCTAAGATGATGCGGTAACAGACAGACAGACACACAGACAAAAATTTTAAAAACTATAGATTCGGCCTCTGTATCGATAATAATTTTTATTTCAATAAGATTTTCCAAAAAATATTTAAAGTACAAATTCGGTTTAGTAACATTTTTATTATATGTATAGATTTATAGTTTAAATAGTAAGGAATACCATTTAAAAATATATATATTTACAGATGTAGTAAAACAATGTTTGCCAATCGAATCTCGTACTGGCTGAATGCCAAAGGGCCATCTATGGCTATTGATGAAGCTTGCTGCAGTTCTACTGGTGCACTCGAGCAGGCTTACCTCGCTATTACTCGTGGAGAATGTGATGCTGCAATTGTTGGAGGAGCCAACCTGTGCTTGCATCCACAATCCTCTGTCCACTATGGGAGGTAATAATAAAACGAACATTATAACTTTATTCAAATAGTTAATAAGAACAACTAAAGCTATATTACCTATACTAATATTATAAAGAGGAAAGAATTGTTTGTTTGTACCAAATATGCTCCGAAACTACAGAACCGATTTATATGAAAGGAAGGGTATCGATAAGACCTCATTTCCGCCCCCTAAAAACGAAAAGAGTTATATTATGCGATTTGATCTCTTCCTTACATATTCTGAAAGTAGACTGTATGTCTGATAAGATAATAGTACCTGGGCCACCGAGCTTCACTCGCCCAAAAAACATTAAAAAAATTAATAAATACAAAAAAAAAACAAAAGTAAAAACTTTGTATCCGACCAGGATACGATCCCAGACACCAGTGGTTGTCAAACTTGCTTTGGCTGCTTGACCACGATTTTTATATCCTAGCGTGCGAATTAGCGAACATATAATAATTGCGTGCGAAACAAAACCGCATGAAAACTCGAAAACACGCGTTTTCCCAGACAAAACTAATCTAGATCAATTTATCGCCCCCGAAACCCCCTGTACACTAAGTTTCATGAAAATTGTTGAAGCCGTTTCCGAGATTCAGATTATATATATATATGTATACAAGAATTGCTCGTTTAAAGATATAAGACATTTATGATAAAAATAACTACAATAAATAAATAAATAGGTGAGTCGTTTGTACTACATATTTATAATTGGCGACAAAAAACGAAAAAGGTCAGTTTGATGTTTGTATCTATCTGTGACAGCTTTTTTTATTCACATACATAAACATAGTTTTTTTTTACAATAAAGAACTAATACAAATATTTGCCTCAACGACCGCGGACACGCCGGCGTTACAGTTAGAAATAGATTTCTTAGAAATTTAATTAATTTTTTAGAAATTTACCTGGAGGTGATATACTTAATTATATATGCAAAAGAAATGTACGCTTAATAATTACTGTACAAGTGACTTAAATGGACATTTGAGTGGTTGTACACTTCTTATGCTTTTAGTTAGTATGGTTCTTAGTTGCATTTATTTAAGATTTGAGCCTCTTATCTTATAGCCTCTTATCCGTATTGGAATGGGAATTTTATACGAAATATTTTACTATTCTATGTACATGCTTTTACTAGCTTAGTCAGCAGACTGTCCACCTATTTAACCATCGAGAATGTTTCAGTTCGTCTGGTGGTCAAAATTTGACCATAATTATTATTAAAAAAAATTGACAAAAATATAATAGAATTGACCTATATATGTGTATAATATGTTTTAAAAAGAAACTTCAAACATTTTATGTATATGTTTATACTTTCATAAATAAATGTTTTTCAGAATCATGAAACTAAGTATGGATGGTAAAACAAAATCATTTGATAGTAATCCCGCTGGATGTTCTAAATCGGAGTCAATCAATGTTCTTTTCTTGCAAAAAGCTAAAGATGCACTAAGGTATGTTTCCATGTCACAAAATTGTTTATGTTTATAAAATCAATAAGAAAAGTAAACTTCACTAAAAAATTACCATTTAATCCATTTGATTACGGGAAAAAAATAGTAAAAAAAATTTACCACATATTTCAGAGTTTATGCAGAAGTTGCTTATATTAAATGTGAGTTTACTCAACTAGAAGAAGATGAAAGTGGTCCAAAATACGGTTTCTACAGAAATCCTAACATTTCGGCTGATTTTTTAAAAAAATTCTATCAAGAAGCTGACGTTTCACCAGATGTAGTGGAATATGTTGAAGCGGTTGGTTCAGGTAAAATTGTTACATAAGTAGCACATAAATCTGGGTAACATAAATCCAATATTTTAAGATTCTTTAATTATACATATTCATATTTAAATTATCCTTACAAATTTACAGCTGTTGCTGAAGCTGATAAATCAGAATTACAATCGATATGATGAAGTTTTTTGCAGTAAATAGAAGTGATCCCCTAAAAGTAGGAAGTGTCCATGTCCTAACATTGGTTATAACAGAAGCTGCTTCAGGATATGCGCTATTACTAAAGTAATGCTTAGTGAAGTAAAAAGGTAAAATTAAAGTATTATTCATTTTTGGTTTATTATTGAGAATATATTGTATTTAAAAAATGGGGGGTTTTTTAGTTAGGTTCTCCTGGCTTATCATACTGGGAAAGATCCGCAGGCGAATTTTACATTGCTGATTCACCGCGGACAAGATGTTGCGGCACTCCGTGATGGTCGAATGTGCATTGTCACAGATCATATGGAACTTCAACCACTCATACCGCAGGCTGTAAAACGGGCCTGTCGGTCACAGGTGTCACTCGCACATCTTACTAAAAGGGCCATTATAAAGCAAAAGGTATATTATCTCACCTCACTTTTAATTTAAAATGAGTCTTGCCAAAATACCTTACAGATAGTAACTGTCTGTCTTATTGGTTATTTATATAGGTATTATGTTAAACCAATATTGCAAAAAGAAATTCGACGAATTTTTATGTAAATAACATAAAAATAGAATACTTATTCCACTTAATTTACAAGGAAATTTTATCCTATCGTATGTTCATATTTTTCTTGAATATGCGTAGTTATCATATAGTAACTACTTTGCGTGAGTTTTTTTTTGTAACTTAATATGACAGGATTACGATACAATTTTATAGTCCAATGCAAATAAGTTGCTAATTAAATTGGGGAAAAATAACCGTCTAATTTATTTTATTTCTTATCTACATATATATTTCCTCTAATGGCAATACATATAGAATAACGTTTTTGTAAACTTTATTATTCCGTTTGCGAAAAGAAAAACTTTTTCTCGACTCACTAAAAAACTCGTCTAACGGCGAGCCATGAACCGAAAAAGAATTTTAATTCTACCGAATATTGATCTTTTTAGTTTTGGGAATAAGTGAACATCACTAGGAGCTATAGACTCCGGAGATATGGTCGGTGGTTCTAAGGAAGATTAAAGCCACGCACAAGAGGCGAATTGCATTGAGCGCAGTTTCGCGATCGATGGGTGGATGCGTTATTATGAGGAAACAACTACGTTTTTCGACGACGTTTTTCTTTAATTCCTTCACGCGCGTTTTTCGGCATTAAATTTGCATAATAGGGTTCAGGTAATCGTCTGGTGTTTTCGCATGTAATCAATAAAAGAGAATACCTTCGATTTTTACAGAACACTGAGGCGCATAACTTTGCTAATAGTAGGAGGCAACTGCGAATTTTTTTGTTTTGGATGGAGAGGATGGTCATGGCATAAATATTGTTTTAATTAATACTCTTTAAAACGGAATATCGAACTATTCCCCAACTATCCGGACCCAAACAAAACAATCCATCCGCTTCAGATCATTTTCCGGGTACCTATCGCCCAAAAAGGTTTTTATATATATGCGGTTTCTAAGAACTTCTTTGATTAACCTGGAGTAATTAACGATAATTATTAAAGGTAATTAAACCAATTGAATGTTCCGTTTAAGGATCTATCTTGTTACAAAGGCTACTATTCCACAATTTAGTGACACTCTCAGGAAGAACAAGAATCATCAGTAATAAAAATAATGAACGATTTAAAATATACGTCCCGTTGACCCCGATGGAGTTAGCTTTGCTTCGAATATTCACAAAAGTAGAATTTTTGGTCACTTGGGTAGAGGATACACGATTCTTGGTAAGATATCATAAACTGTTTTAATGAACCAGCGTTTTTTTTTTTCAAAAATTGCTTAAATATCATTATCAACCTTTATATCTCTTTTATACTTTAGATACAAACGAGAAAGGTAAAACGGTTAGTTTATGTGAAAATCTAACTACTTCGATGATGTCAAACGACCACTTTGGTTCATGTCAGTGGAATGGGATTCGCAATGGGCTGGAATGGGAACACCAACATTATTGCCGCATACCAGTTTTTGCTGCAGCTATCGAACGGTAAAACAAAATATTACGTAAAAAAATACCTTTTAATTCAACAAACTAAAATCACAGAAAGATAATAATTGAATTTCATTTTGTATGTTACAGTTTGTCGTCGAGCTCTTGAACCTAAAAGGAATTGATATAAGTACATTATCATAACTTCGCATTCCACGAAAAAAGCAATATTTGATAATATCTTACACTCTATTTGTTGAATCGCAGCAATTTCCAAATAGGGCTTACCGATTGTCTTAAGAGAATTGGAGGATTTTCCCTGATATGATTATAGGTATTTAATATTCTGGTATTATATTTCCCAGATAACCTTTCTAATTATTAAGATATTACTGATGATGATACTTGTAGAATCCGAGAGTTTATTCTGAATTTTATATTATTTTAATTTTTATCAGGACACAAGTGTGGGGGAATTAGGAATGTGCATACGCGATGGTATGTTTCAACAGCATAGGAAGAGGATGATTTTGATCTGCTTATAGTCAAGGTCTAAGTATCTCTTTGCAAACACCGTTCATAAGAGGATCAATGGCTGCCGTCGGTGTTTGGATACCAACAGGTAAATATAACAATATTAAGGAACTACATTTTTTATATTTAATTTTGCATTATTTTTTATAGATTGAACTCATACTAATATTTTCTTTCCTATAGATAGTTTAAAATTGTGCCCTCCAGAAATAGAAGTAGCATGTCATAACGGTTCTAACTCAAGTACTATCTCGAGGACCTAGCGATTGTAATGAACGAGTTTGTTAGCCCAATTAACTTCCAAAGGTATTTTTCGCTAAAGAGGTTTGCCATGTTCAAAGTATTGCATATCACCTCGCGCTATATTGCTGACGCAGGTAAAGTATGCAAACTTTAATAATAACATATTTTTCACATACATTAAAATCAAATAAATAATCACCTCAAATAAATATGGAAAGTCATTTCTTATGCTTTTATTATTAAGGTCCCGGCTTACTTAAATATTTAACTGAAGTCATCCAAATCTCCAAAGCCTCGTAGTGAGAAAAACAATGGGTGTCAAACTTCGGTAACCAAAAGAAAGAATGGGGAGAAGAAATTGCCTAAGTATTTCCTCAGCTGAGTATCATACAAATATTTATTGGTAAGTAATATTCTGTAATAAAATAGTTACTTTCGGTTAAGATAAAATAAAAAGAACATGAAATTATAAATAAAATTTATAAGTTTAGAAAAACGTATTTAAAATATAATATTTAATAGTTTTGATATCATTTATTATATAAAAAATGTTCAATGCAGAATTCGGTGCTCTTTGAGGAGTAACGTCCCGGTACTACCCCAGCTAGTGCAGCTGGTGATCGAGATCGCACCACATGGTTTTGTTTGCAAGCTATCGTCAAGCGGTCCTCCTACTACCTGATTCATGTCGGCACATACCACTCACTAGGCGTTGGTCACGTGGACAATGCACTATTCTTGCTAGAAGCTATAGGAAAGTTTAGTAACATTTATTTAAACTTTTTCTAAATGTAGATGATTTAATGTCGATTAATATGTCAGTGTTTTATTATTTAATTAATATATCTGTATTAACAGACTTTATATGGGATTGGAGTTAATCCTAAAGTGGAAGTTCCTGTATCCTAAAATTGAGTATCCTGTTTCGACTGGAACACCAATGTTATCAACATTTAGGTGGAATGGGCTCATAATGAAAATGGTAAATATGAATAGCTGTTTGTATACCTATTATAATTAAGAATTTTGTGACCAAATACTGGGTAAATGTAACACTACCCTGTATTAGTCCATAATTTGAATTTGATTATCAACCTATGTTTCACTTTTTAGTATTGTGACATTTTTAATTCATATAGTTTATATATTATTTATTTAATAAATAATTATAATAACAAATACATGTGATCCGAATATCATGATTGTACTGATAATTTACTTAAACTTTCATATAATACAGGGAATACTTAAGCACGTTTTCCAATATATTTTTTTAGTATTAATTCCAATAAACAAAATAAATATTAACAGGAGGTTACCTCATAGTATGCCATCAGCGCATGTACTCAAATAGCTGCTGCTACAAAATTTGTGATATCCACATATGATGACGATCACGCATATTTACAAGGCCACGTCATAAGAGGTGATAATAGAAAAAAT